GTCACTACTGAAAGACTCCACACAGCATTAGGCGCCACTCGATCCCTTGTCCTTCTCACAGTTCTGGGTCCCTTCAGGGTCCCCATCACATTGCCTCCTATGGTCTATGACCATTTCTCAGACTTCCTTTGTTGGGGGCGGGTGGTGATCTCTACAGTTTTGAAGGGTCCTGGGAAGATGTTTTCAAAATTGGGGCTTTCCTGTTTTTCTTGGGGACAGTCTAGCACATGCATTTGGGGGAGACCACAGAGACAAACACCCTCTCATCTCATCCTATAATGCTTGCTTCCAACTAACTCACGGAGGAGGTCAGCCTTGGTTAGTGGCCTCAGAGGAAGTCAGCCTTGGTTAGTAGCCACGAGGAATTTTCGGGCTTCTCCCTGCCCCCAATTCCCCTGGAAGCCCCTGGTCCTCCACAGGAGATAGGGCTCTCAGGCCAAGAGTCAGGCTCCTCCTTCATTTTCAGTAGAATCCTTTGGCTGGGGGTCTGCCTTTCCTGGGCCCTGTGGGTGGGGCTTTAGTTCAGAGCAGCTTTGATGTGCTCTTCCTTCCCACGGCCATGGTGGGTGTTTAAGGGCTCTGCTAGAGAACTGAACCCAAGAGGCAATGGCATCACAGAGCAGTGTGCAGCCTGCAATGGCGACGTAAGGTGAACAGGAAGGGGACCTTTACGCGGTGAGCCATGGGAGTCCTGCATTTTTTGTTGATAGCAGAGCCAGCTCTCTCTTGGGGAGCCTGAGGCCATGCTTCTGCTCAGTGTGGGAGGGCTGTGCTGTACTGGGGTGTAGCAGAATATTTTAAGGTGTCTTACTTTTGTTTATGTTGCATTTGTTTAACTCTGTGAAGCTGTGTTGCTGTGCCTGTCTAAAACACCTGATGATCAAATAAAGAACTGAATGGCCAATAGCAAGGCAGGAGAAAGGGTAGGCAGGGCTGGCAGGCAGAGAGGATATATAGAAGGAGAAAATTGGGAGGAGAGATCTAAGATACAGCAGCCAGAGAAGGGAAGGATATCAGGGGCCAGCCACCCAGCTACACAGCGAGCTATGGAGTAAGAGTAAGATTTACCGAAGTTAGAGAATGGAAAAAGCCCAGAGGCAAAAGGTAGGCAGAATAAGTTAATGAAAGCTGGCAAGAAACTAAGCCAAGCTAAGGCTGGGCATTTATAAGTAAGAATAAGCCTCCGTGTGAGAATTTACTTGGGAGCTGGTGATGCCCCCCCCCCCCAAGAAAAGAGCAAAAACCCCCAATAACACTAGGGCTTGTATGTCTCTGTAATTTATGACAGAGGTAAGATGGGCAATCTGGGTGAAGCTCTAACACCATATGGACTGAGACCTGGGTCAGAAGATGCTAACCCCCGCCAGACTCCTCCAGTTACCTAAGTCCAGTGTCTTCTGTCACAGTTCAAGTCTCTCATGGCACTATCATTCCTTGTGGTGGTATGCTTCCAGTCTGGGGATTCTAACCCTTGGTGATTCCAAGACTTGGTGTTCCAAGGATTGATGCTCCTGCCAGGGCCAGCCATTCCTGAACTCTGCCCAGAGTGATACACAATCCTCACCTGCGGCCAAGAACACTGGCAAACGTCTATAATGCCTGTACCCAGGGACTGAGGCAGAAGGATTGTTTTGTAGCCAGTCCAGGCTTTAAAATGAGACCTTGTTTCAAAAAGTAAAAGAAAAAAAAAATCCTCACCCGTTCCTTCCTTCCTTCGCAAGGCTGGTCTCCAGTTCAGACATCTGTCTGGCTCACTGTGATGAGTCCTGATGCACCTCCTATTTTCTCTTTCTTCTTAACCTATGAGCCTGGCTCTAACCACGTTCTGCCCGCTTGGTCTGCACCAGGTCTTTCCCAGCCAAATCCCCATGACCAGTCCTTCTTTGTGGTCCAGGAGTCCTCCTTGTCCAGTCAGGACGGATCTGCTTTTCATATCCGCAGAGTTCCCTATATGAGGCCACTCCCTGCTGCAACCCCCTTGGCAGACCAGCCTGGCTCATCTCAAATACCAGCTCTGCCACAAAATCCGTTCTCATTCCTTCTCTATCCCTGGCAAAATAATTGTCCCCTCTTCCTTCTCCAGTGTCTTGCTTTAGTTTTTCTGGGATTTGTCATTACAGAGGCTCTAGGTGGGGCTACATGGACACATCTGTCTCTCACAGTCCTGGGGGCCAGAAATCCAAGATCAAGGTAAGAATGGGTGGCTTTTCTTGCTTTGTCCTTACATGGTTGTCCCTCTGTGTGTGTCTGCGTCCTAATTTCCTCCGACAAAGGCACCCGTGGGATGGGATTTGGGCCCACCCTACTGACCTAATTTTAACTTTGCTACTTAAATGTTTCTAAATATGGTCACATCCTGAGACACTAGGGGTTAAGATTCTAACATAAGAATCCGAGGGACAGAATTCACTCTGCAACATCTTCTTCCTTTCCCCACCCTCCTTTTCTCCCTCCCTTTCTTTCCTATATAAACCAAAGCTGAGCCTTTGATAAAGATAAAAGAACAGTGAAGATGTGGTCTTTGTCCTTGGGTAGCGTCCAGTAGCCCAAAGAGAATGGATACCAGGTTTTGAGGCACCTAAAAGCTAGGAACCCCTGGTACCAGTCCTGCTCTTTCCACATTGTGCTGGAAGTCATGTCCAGCTTCCTGTCGCAGGGAGAAGCGGCTTCCTAAGGATGGACTTTTAGTCATCTTGGAATTTATGATGCCTAGAACTCTGCCTCACCAGATAGTACACTGTAGTCCTAGCACTCAGAAGGCTGAGACAGGAGGATTGCCACAAATTTGGGGCCTGCAGTGGTTACATAGCAACTTGTTTAGGTCAGAGGTAAAGGAGTAACAGAGAAGAGAAACAAAAAAAGAAAAATAGGATCATACATGGGTGAAATAAATGGTCAGCAAATACTGGTTGAATTGAACCCCAATAAACTGATATTGTGTTTTTATTCTTGAAGAGTTTTTTATTGTTGTTGTCACTATTTGTTTTTGTTTTGTTTGCTGACTAATGGACTTTGTCATCAGTCTTAATGGACAAAGGTCAGCAAATACATTTTATTTTGCTTTTAAACCATAAAAATATAGATTTATGCCTCAAAAGAGGCAATGGCTCTGCATATTGGGAGAGAGTAACTTCTGTGATTTCTTCTATTTAGAAATTTCACACTTTCCCATTGCAAAGTATAATACATCTAAAATTGTAACTGCAATGATGAGTTAATATGTTACATTTGACATGAGCCAAAAATAAAAACGAGCCTCATGCTTTGAGAATGATGAGCATATTAGTTGGCATCTCACGAAGACTTAAGAATTTTTGGTTTTTGGTTTTGTTTGTTTGTTTGTTTTTTGTTTTAATACAAAATCTTCCATAACCGAGACTGAGCTCACCACGCAGCCGAGCCTGGCATTAAACCCTTCTGATCCTTCCTCCTGCTTCCAGCTCTCCAGTGCTGGGCTTACAGGTGTGCTGCCTTTCTTAACTTCGGAAAAAAGTTTGAGGAAGTAAAAAGCACTCAATTAGAAGAGACAGCCTTGGGCTGGAGAGATGACTCAGTGGTTAAGCGTAGAGACCGCTCTTGCAGAGGAGCCTAGTTCAGCTGCCTGTGTGGAAATCCAGCTCCAGGAGACTGGACATCCTTTTCTGAACTCTGTGGGCACCTGTACTCACATGCACATACCCTCATACAAACGCCTGCACACATATAATTAAAAAGAATAAAAATATCTCTTAAAAAATGACATCCGAACAACTATCCGCAGCGCTCAACCCAGTGAGGCTCATACTGTGGAGTCACCAGATAAATATGTTTTCTGGAGTATGACCCAAACCAGGTGTCTGCCGGCCACGTGCTGAGTATGGGGCAGCAGCCAAGCTCTCACAGGGAGCTTCCATGCTGAGACTCTTGCATGGTCACAGCCCTTGAACCCGACATGCTTCTTGTCGGCCTCTGCAGCAGCCAAGACACGATGACTTTGTAGCTGTAAAATTCTCTGGTCCCGAGTTCCTCTGGTCCTGCCCAGCCCTGAGGTCCCTCAGCCATTTATAAAATAATCA